CGTTTTGGGGAAGAAAATGTGCGTCTAATATGGCAAAAAATACGGTATGTTGAAGCATGGGGTTATATCATTTAAAGCTGGGTTTGAGGAATAGAACTCAAAGATATAGCTATGGAAATGTAGTCATGTGCCAAATATGTCTCCTGATGTAAGATCTCTGCCAATCTCCCCTATATTCCATGTCGTGATTCCCTATACAGTTTAGATGTTAATACTGCAGGATTGCTCAAACAAGAAAATAGTCATTAAACAATGAACAGATAATGTAGCTCACACATTGTAAACTGCTTAAGGACTGCTTAAGTGCACTGATAAGTGATAGAGAAATGTACTTGCTACTTGCTATTGTAATTAATCACATTCACCACTCATCACATCCTGCTTCATATTTTACAGTAGCAGTGGAGACATCCAGAAGTAGTACAAGGTGTCTACATGGCACAACCTGGCATAATAGGACATGCATTCCATCTAGTCCTCACTCCCTAATTGATCTAACCACTGCTCCCCACATCCTTGTCCTGCCAACATTTACTTTGTTCCAAATGCCTTGCTCTGATGGGTCCTTGAAGATCAAAATGTTAATACTGCCTCAGCCAGAATAGTTCTAACCTCACCCAAAGTCCCTGGAAAATGTCCAACCCTTAGAAACATATAGGCATGAAGACAGCTTCATAGTATTTTGGAGGAGGCTTTTTAAAAACATCAGAGGGAGAACTAGTCATTAGAATTCTAGATGAACATCTATTCAAGTTCAAAGACAACTTGAATGCAGGAATGGGTGGCCAACCCTCACTGCAATGTTACCATTCTGCTGTTTCCATGAGACATTTTGTAATAATTGTTCTTTCCTGAGAAATGTCCTCAGCTCTTGTACAAAAATTTCCCTTTTATGTGGGAAATATTGAACATTTATGACTTATTCCATCTTTTTTTTTCTGAAAAAGAAGCATCACAGGATAAAAAAGGACAGAGGATGTATCTCAGAAATGACTGCCCCATATATCTCTTTTCATCACAGCAATGTTATTAGGAGGCAACATTTCTGTTCCAGACTGCTTGATAGCTTAATTTCCTACCTGCTGAGAAACATACCCATTCCACTGAAACCCTTTCATATATATATATA